AGACAAATAGACTACAAACATCTATATAAATAATTATATTGTACTTAATTTAAAAATATAATTGCGGAATTCATAACCAAGTAATTTTTATTTGTTAAATGTTTTTGTTTTGTTTTTGCAATAAATTCTTAATGACTTTGGGAGCATATTTCATAAAATTTTCATAATATTTTTCAATTTTATCGGCGGATATGAAATACCGGTTGCAAAACTAAATAATACAAAATTGAAACGCAAATCTGTTAATGCTTGAATAATATATTTTTACTACAATAACTTATTAAAAGGAGTCCAGTATAAAGAAAAAACTATTGTTAAACTAATCTTCTCAATCTTTAAAAATATTGACTTAATTTTGTGCTACTAATCGATATGACATACCACGGCTTACTTAATTCAGTATTGATACTTCACTGTTTCCTGGAGAACAAATTACACTAAGTTTTTATTAGTTAGTCTTGAACTAACATTTTTCAAATTATTAACTTTAATTTCTAATAATCTAAATATCTACCTAATTTGAGTCTTATGTTTACTAATCTGTTAGATTTAAGGAAATCTATTTTGAAAAAATCAAGTTTTTTCTACTAATAATGAATTCAAATATGATAAATCTTATTTTTATTTTTCGTTGAAGAAGCTGGTTTAATTTACATAGTAGATATTCTCGAAAAATTGTATTTACAGTAAGAGCATTTGGAATTTCACAAAGAAGGAAGTGATATTAAAATTTCTTTATGAAATAAGTAAACGACAATGATTTTATATTATATACATAACATTATCAAGTTTTACTGATCCATTAACTAACTTTTATCTTGGGGCACCGGTCCTAAGTGAGTTTCATTATTACACCCTGATAGTTTGATACAAGCCCGAATATTTTTATAAAAATGGCGTTTAGCAAGTATATTTAAAGATGTTTAACAGTCTAATAATCAGTGGGTGAATCGAACATCTTGACAACAGTAGGTGGATAATCGGACTACTTATAAGTTCTACACGAACTTGAATTAGTAAACAAAAAAAAAATCAACAATAAATATAAATAAAGATTATGTAAGTTTCATTTAATGGAG